AAAAGAAGCAAGGAAGGTAAAGGCTGGCTAATCTGGGTAAAGGGGAGGGGAGGAATGGGGAGAAAACTGAGTCACAGGATTAGAAGTTCAAGGTCATTTTAGCTACTCGGGGAGTTTGATGTAAACTTGGGCTATAGGAGTTCTAAAAATAAAAAACAAACAAAAATAACCAAGGCAGGCTGAGCAGTGGTGTCCCACACAGTTAACCTCAGCACTCTGGAGGCAGAGGCAGCTGGATCGTTGAGTTTGAGGCCAGCCTGGTCGAGGGAGTGAGTTCCGGGACAGCCAGGGCTACACAGAGAAACCCTATCTCAAAAACAAACGAAGCTGGTGGCGCACGCCTTTAATCCCAGCACTCGGGAGGCAGAGCCAGGCGGATCTCTGTGAGTTCGAGGCCAGCCTGGTCTCCAAAGCGAGTTCCAGGAAAGGCGCAAAGCTACACAGAGAAACCCTGTCTCGAAAAACCAAAAAAAAAAAAAAACTAAAAACAAACAAACAAAAAAAAAAACAAATGAACAACAACAACAAAAACCAGAAAAATCGAAACAAACCCAAAAAACAAAACAAATCAAACAAAAAGCCAAGGCAAACCTAATCAGACAAGATGGTGAGACAAGCCTGTGATGTTAGCACTTTCTGGGGGAGGGGACCAAAAGTTTAAGGTCAGGACTGGAGAGATGGCTCAATGGTAAAGAGTATGCTGTATTGCTTTTACAGAAGACCCAAGTTCAATTCCTACATCCACCCTGGGTGACTCACAACTGCCTGTACCTCCAGCTCCAGGAGGATTCCACACCCTCTTCTGGACTCCACAAGCACCTGTACTCAAATTAAATAAATAAAACCTTTAAAATGAGAATTCAAGGTATTTTCAGCTATCAAATTCAAGGTCATTTTGAGTCACATCTCTGTCTTAAACAACAACACTCCAGTTCCAGGGGATTTGATACCCTCTTTTGGCCTCTGTGGATACCATATACAAATGTGATGCATAGATATACACACAGGTAAAATACCAGGACACATAAAAAAAAAAACAAACAACAACAAAAATTAAACAGCCTGGGCATGTAGCATACATCTTTAATGGAGGCCAGCCTGGTCTACATGTCAGGTTCCAGGTTAGCCTGCCAGTGCTATATAGCGAGACCCTGTTTTAAAAAAATGAAAGAAAAATTAAATGAGAGATAGAGATAGGCAGACAGAAAGAAGGACAGGCAGACAGACAGGGAAACAGGGAGACGTTCAACACTACACTCAGGACAAAAATTCTGCCTATACATATAACCTTTTTATATGACCTCTTTTTTCTGTTTGTTTGTTTGAGACAAGGTTTCTTCTCTGTGTAACAGTCCTGGCTGTCCTGGAACTCCACCAGGCCTGTGCCACCACAGCCCGGCTTAGTATGACCTCTTAATGGGGTTCCGGTGGATGTAGTCTCAAAGTAGTCAGGTTATGCTGATGGACTTCAACTCCAAAACTATAATCATATGAAAGATGGCTCAGAATTCTTGTCATTGTTTCTAGCTTTAACATCTGTAAGATGCTGTCTTTCCTCATGCATATTTCCTTTCAACGCCAAGTCACTCAGGGGATGAGGTCATCTGGAACTATTGATCTTGCTCACTGGGGCAGTATCCACACAGAAACTAAATAAAGGGGCATCAGACCAAGGTGCAAAATGTAACCCAGCTGCCAATTTTAGACAACTTTTAGAAGCATCTAATTTGCAGTGTGGCAGGAATCCCAGTTTATAGCCGAAGTAGGTCTGTCGCTCTGTGGTCAGCACGCCTGGGCATGTCTGGTGACCTGCTAAGGCAAGACTGAGAGACAAGCTGACTGATACAGGGTGGAGGCTGCTTCTTAGAACAGGACTCATTTTGGTTAAGAGGGAACCAGAGAAGCTGTGTAAGAAAGACTTAGTCATTCAATGGAGAGTCATAAATGCAGCTTGGGGTAGCTGTGACTCAAATCTGTCGCAAGTCTAGGCCCATGAAAACCTATCTGGGTCTCTAAAGGAAACAGAACTCAGAGCAAAAGCTTTAAGAACAGTTTCACAGAAAGCCTGGTACACTGGGCACAGCAGCCCACTCCAAGTTTCCCCTAACAGTGCTGGTCAACACAGTGATCTCAATTTCTCCAGAGTGTATCCTGGCTTTGCCTGTTTGGTTTGCCTTTCAGATTATGTTAGGTTGGTGCCTAGAACAGCAGACAAGTGTGGGAAGGCAATGGGATGGAGCGTTAGGAGACTTTCCACACCCTTCACCCCAAGGGTCCCACAGTGTCTTAACTTAGGTGCGAGGTGTAGGAGAATCAGTGAGATCCAAGCTAGTGATACTAGCTGGACCCCATTTGTACTGTGGTTGGTGTGTTTGAATACAGTACCTAATCCTATGTATCTTATGAAGTGGTGTGCTATGGGGCAATTGATAATTATGCTTGTTAGAAGTTTGGGGTCACAAAGCAAGAGACCACCATTGTAACCGCAGGGACTGGATTAGGCAACCACCTTTGATCAAGAGGGTATGCTCATGAGGTCAAGCACAAGGAGACAAGAAGTACATTTGGTTTTTATTCTAACTCAGGTAGTGGCTGTGGCTTTTCCTCATTGGCTGGGGTCTGACTTCACTATCTTATTCAACTGGCTAGTCTGAAAAAAATTCACGACATAGGAAACTGAGGAAGGCAGTCACTGCACCCAGGAGAAAAGGATGACTGCTCCAGGGCATCAAATTCCTAGAATAGAGCTTCATACAAACGCAGGTCTTATTGGGTGAGGAGGATTAAAATATTCACATAAAGTTCTTAGAAGGTGGGGGAGAGAAAAAGATTTGAATTTTCTCTGTTAGCCACAATGAATCCTGATCTTCAATGTGGGACAGAGCAACTGGCACATACTGTACGCATTTCAGTCTAATTCTGGTAATGGTTGACGTACAATCCAAGACGATAACACATTCCTGATTCATCTGGAAGAACGACTTCGAAGGTTAGTGTTTAGGGTTAGCACTCTGCACTGTAGAAGCATTTGAAACCATAAGTGTCCCCTATTACTATTTTATTTTTTGCTTTTCCTTGAGGCAATATTTTTTGAGGATGTTTCCTTCCACTGGGGGAACACTTTTGGCACGAACACATTACATATAATAGGATCCAAAGGTTAGGACTGCGGCCATAATAATGGGGTATTTGTGGTGATGTAGGCGTTTACCTTGTGGCCCACACTAGTTGGCCTTAAAATTGCAGTAATCCTCCTGTCTCACACTTGAGTGCTGCGGATACCTTGGTAGGCTACATGTTACTTCTGTTTTTTTTTTTTGTTTTTTTTTTTTTCGGTTTTTCGAGACAGGGTTTCTCTGTGTAGCTTTGCGCCTTTCCTGGAACTCGCTCTGTAGACCAGGCTGGCCTCGAACTCACAGAGATCTGCCTGGCTCTGCCTCCCGAGTGCTGGGATTAAAGGCGTGCCCCACCACCGCCCGGCTTTTTTTTTTTTTTTTTTTTTTTTTAATTAGCACAGTGAATTCTAGAAAAGTGAAAGTGCTCTACCCTACCTGAGAGCTGTCCCGGGCGCGTGGGAGGAGCTAAGAATGTCGGAGGGAATGCTCATTGTCTTTGAGAATGCCTCCCTTCTCCAGAGCACCAAGAGATGTGCCTTCCTCGTACTGTTAATGAAAATTTTGGGAAGGTGCAGTGTATCCCTTAAAGCCCTTCAGCACGAACGAAAGGGACTCTTGGCCCAGCAAGGGGAAGAGCCTTTCCCCTAGTTTGCGTGGTAATCTTTCCTTCCAGGCTTTCTTTCCTCTTCTTCACACCCTCCCGTTCTGTTTTTGAGACAGGATTTCACTGTGTATCACTGCCAACCTAGAACTCACTCTGTAGACCAGGCAGGTCCCAGAGGCCCTCCTGCCTCTCCCACCCCAGGGCTGGGATAGAAGGCGCACCCGTCGGAGGTCAGTGTTCTGCCTGCAGGTACGGATGTGCACCACCCACGTGACTGATGACCGAGCCCAGGAGAGGGCGTCGGCTCTTCTGGGGAGTGGATTTAGACAGTTGTGAGCCGCCATGTGGGTGCTGGGAACCGAGTGCCGAGTCCTCCGGAGGAGCGGCCGCAGCGCTTAGTGGCGGGACCATCGCTGTGCCCCCAAGAAGTCACCGAAAATCTTATCAGCGGCTCCTGAACTCAAAACGCCGGGGCCCTTGAGCCCAATCCCTGCCGCCTTCGTCGGAGCTGCCCTCCTTGGAACGCTGGGACACCGGGACAGGTAAGCAGGCCGGGCTGAGGGTGAGGCCTGGGGCACCCTGTTGTGGACGCGGGCTCCATCCCGATCCCTCAAAGAAACCAAACCAAACCAAACCGAAAAGTGCCGGGCGATGGTGGTGCACACACGCCTTTAATCCCAGCACTCGGGAGGCAGAGGCAGGTGGATCTCTTTGAGTTCTAGGCCAGCCTGGGCTACAGAGTGAGTTCCAGGAAAGGCGCCGAAGCTACACGGAGAAACCCCGTCTCGAAAAACCAAACCAGACCAACCCCAAACCGATTTATTTCACTTTCTGCACGTTTTCGTGGGCTGTCTTTGAGTATGGCAAGCGCTCAGAAGGCCAGACACTTGCTCCACTTATGGCTCCCTTCTTCAGGACACTCGCCCCAGACTCTCTGAGAGGGTGATTTTCTCTAGAGAAGTACAGGGCTGTGAAAAATCCCCCACTGGCTTCGGGTTTCGGTGGCTCGTCCCTCCGCCACCGGGCTCGGGAAGGCGTGGGAAGGCCGCGAGAAACTCCGAGGGGCCCGGGCGGGCAGGGGGCGTGGCCGCCGCGGGGCCGCCGCGCAGGCGCGCTGCCGCCTCCGCGTGAGTGCGCGCGTTCCGGCGCGTGTCCCCGCGCGGGCTCCGTAGCGCGTGTGCCGCCTGACGCAGCCCCGCGGGCCCTCCTCCCGCTCTGCGGCGGCCGCGGCCGAGAGGAGTTCGGGGCGGGCGTGCGGGCGAGGGCGGGGGGAGGCGAGGCGGCGCGCCGCGAGAGGAGGCGGCGGCGGCGGCGGCGGCGAGAGGAGGCGGAGGAGCAGCAGGCGCCGCCATGGCCGCGGCGCTCACCGACATGGCCGACCTGGAGGAGCTCTCCCGCCTCAGCCCGCTGCCCCCCGGCAGCCCCGGGCCCGCGGCGCGGGGCCGGGCCGAGCCGCCCGAGGAGGAGGAGGACGACGACGACGACGAGGCGGAGGCGGAGGCGGTGGCCGCGCTGCTGCTGAACGGCGGAGCGGGCGGCGGCGGCGCGGGGGGCGGCGAGGCGGAGACCATGTCGGAGCCGAGCCCCGAGAGCGCCAGCCAGGCGGGCGGGGACGAGGACGACGAGGAGGAGGACGACGAGGACGGGGGCAGCAGCAGCGGCGGCGCCGAGGAGGAGAGCAGCGCCGAGAGCCTGGTGGGCAGCAGCAGCGGCGGCTGCAGCGGCGACGAGACGCGCTCGCTGAGCCCCGGCGCGGCGAGCAGCAGCAGCGGCGATGGGGACGGGAAGGAGGGCCTGGAGGAGCCCAAGGGACCGCGGGGCGGCCCGGGCGGCCCGGGCAGTGGCGGCGGGAGTAGCAGCAGTAGCGTGGTGTCGAGCGGCGGCGACGAGGGCTATGGCACCGGGGGAGGCGGGAGCAGCGCGACCTCCGGGGGCCGGCGGGGCAGCCTGGAGATGTCGTCCGACGGGGAACCGCTGAGCCGCATGGACTCGGAGGACAGGTCAGTGCGCCGCCAAGGGGACTCCTCCGGGACCTGACCGAGGGGACTCTTACCGGACCCCGTCGAGGGGACTCGGGGGACTCCTTCCTGACTCACTCTCTCGAGGGGACTCTGCGTGGATCCCGTCTAGGGGACTCCTCCCGGACCCCATCGAGGCGGCTCCCCTGCCCGATCCCCTCCCACCTCCTGCACCCATGGCCCAGCCTTCGTCCTATCTAGACTCCCCGGCTCCGCCGAGGGGTCCAAGGGGACTTTCTCGCCGTAGTCCTTTCCGTCCCTTGCCCCTCCTTCCCCACCCCCCTCGCCCTGGGAACGTCTTCGTCGCGATCTCCCTTGCCCCCTGACACTGGGACCCCAGACCCGGAATACTTTCCCTCCGCGATCTCCCGCCCCCTGAATTCTCGGCCCCTCCCCCAGATCTCAACTCGGAAATCCCTGGCGGCCGCCGCGCCCCTCTCTCGCCACTGAGCGGCTTCCAACTCCTCACCATCCCCCTCAACTCTCCTTTCCCCACCCTCCTTCCCTCGGCGCGGCTCTCCTTTTGGATCGAAGGACGACTCTATCCCGGAGACAGCCCCCCAAAGTGGCCCAGACGCCCCAGCCGAGCTCCAGAGGCCCTTGATGTACACCTCGGTACACAAGGTTAGCTTCGTGCATCGGTGTTCAGGAACACTTGTCAGAACTGTAATTGACAAGTGTTTTCCAATATGGCTGGTCTCCTGGATCTCGCAGAACTAACTTGTGCAGGGAGGAGACCCCAGCCCTGGCTTTTCTTTACTTTTAAAAAGACGGTTGGTTTGTTATATGTAGTGACTGCTTCCCAAATCCCTCATGTATGTCAGTTGTATCATCTCTAAGGGGATTTGAATCTTGGTCATCAAATCTGAGCGAAAGTTTAAAACACAGAAAAGCCATTGTGAAAAGGAACAGTGTGAGTCGATGCCCTTTACAGTAACTTTGCCGAATCAGAAAGAATTGGAGTCACAAGATACAGCCACGGACGTTTTAAAAAATTAGGATGTGGCTTTTAAAACGGCACTACATAGTGATACTTTGATGTGGGAGTCATGTCCCCCTTGATTTTTTTTTTAAAGTCACATATAGGGGAGGTGTCTGGAGGAATTAGCTCTTTTCTTGAGCTTGTTAGAAGTAACAATGCACTACCATTTTTCTAGATAGAATATTTAAGAAATGCAGTATGCTTCCGTTGCTGCTCTAAATTTTTGATTGCTTTGTAGAATTTCATAATCAAAGTGGTCGATTTTTTAATGTACTTTTAAAAGAATCTCATGTTCATTATGTTCCTAAAGTACATTAGCTTGCTCATCTGCTAGTGTTTTGATGAGGGAATTTATAAGTCCATAGTGATTTCTCTCCTTGGGTTGTATTTTGGGGGCCTGGGGGCGTTGTCTGGCTAATAACATTAACCTAGTTGCTGTCACTTGAGAATCCAATCTTTTCTACCTACCTTAGCCTCTGAATACTGGGTTCAAACCCACCAGCATGCCTGGATTTTGATTTGATTTTAAGTTTAAGCATTCTGAAGTCTTCAGGAATTCTGGTTGCTAGCTAATAAAGATGAACATGTTATAGTTAATGATATGGGAATATTCTGAAAAAAAATTTCAGGAGTTCTTTTTGACACTTTAAAACCTAGACAAGTAAATACTTGTTCTTTCTCCTCCAACATTCTTTACAACAGGGTTTCACTCTGTAGCCCAGGATAGTCTGGAATTCACAAAAATCCTCAGTCTCCCAAATGCATGAACCACCATAGATGTAGCTCAAGAAATGGATCTTGAATGGGTGTAAAACAGACTGCTCCTTAGGAAAACATAGAAAATTGTGCTGAACTGGGTGGATGTAGTTGGAGATGGCATCTTCAAAAAAAATTAGAAGTTCATGTGGGGCAACCTATTTTGAGGGTTGCTCTCAACTTGTCTGCCCTTGAGAAACACTAGTTGATTCAAACTACACAATGAAGCATGTGCTATTATTCAGTGTTGTGTATGTTTCATTGATGACGTCTACCATCTTTTCTTTGCTTTTAGTGCACACATGTGCACATTCATGTTTCCATGTTCCCATTTCATTCTCACATTTATCATGCACAAGAGGGGTTATTTTAACTTCATTTAGCAGATGGGGAAGCAAATTGAATGTCTCACTGAAAACAGTATTTGTGAAGATGCAGCTGGATGTGAAACAAGGTTCGCAACGCTTTCTCCCTCACAAGAGTTGGAATAATTCACTTTTTTAGTTTTTAAGGAAGAAAGATTTTTTTTGGTTTGCAGTTCTGGGGGCGATGATACAACTCATCATGGCAGGGAATACAAGGCAGCGTGCAGGGAAGGCATTGGGGCGCGAGAGGAAGCTGGCTGGTCACAATATGTTCCCACTATGAGATTGGGTCTGAGAAGAGCCCGTGGCTTGGTTTGTTTTTTAGACAAGGTCTCTGTGTAGTCCTGGTTGTCTTGGAACTCTCTATACAGACCAGGCCGGCCTCAAACTCAGTGTCTTCCCACTGGACAACACTTGGCTGAGAGAAAGTCTGGATTGGGTCACACGGACTGCTAGACCTTAGAGATGTTCCCGAGGGAGCTGTCCACCCATAATTTGTGGGAGGTGGGAATAAAGTCCATCATGGCTCAGGAAGGTGTGGCTGGAGTGGCTTACACTGCTGGCCTAAACAAGTGGTGTTATAGTGTCTTAGAGGTGTCGCTGCCCTCCCCATTACTTCCTTTCAGGAGACAGGGAATTTCTGCTTAAGTTTCATTTAGTATTGTGAATATCCAATTTTGTTATATAACTCAGTGAAGAGTAACATTGCCATCAAAAGACCAGATAAGGTTAAAACAACAATCAAGCATACTTCCTTTTTCCGTTTTCAACATTGGTGGGTGTGGGTGTGTATGTATGCATGTATACCATGACACCACACTTGTGGAGTTTAAGGAGGACTTGCCAGTTCTCTCCTTCCATCTTGTATGATCTGTGGGAATCAAACTCAGGTCAGCTGGCTTTCAGCAAATTCATTTACCTCCTGAGCTACCTCATTGACCGTTCTTAACTTTCATAATGCTTTTAAGCATTGGCGACTGAAAAAAAATGCTATTGTGGTGATCATTTCAGGGTAGTAGCTTTATCACCTGTGTGAGGAATCCTTACTAGTGAAATTGGATTGTAGCCTTGATGGTTTTGAAATACACCCTGTTGGCTTTGAGTTTTTTATTTCAGAGTTGGTTTAAGTTCGGAAAAGATCCACTTTGGTTTTGACAGTCTGACTGGTTTAGACTGACCCGGTGCTCACTGTGTAACCTAGGCACTTAGTCTCCAACTCATGGCAGTTTTCCTGCTTTAACTTTAGTCTCCTAAATGTTGGGATTACAGGTGAGCTATCATGCTGCCTTGCATCCAAAGTTCTTGATTTCCTCTTTAGATTGCATCAATCTGTGGACTCATAGTTGATTTCATGGAAGGGAGTTTTGTAATGGATGGAAAGGTATGATAGTTTAAAAGTCATTTTAAAAGGTTGAGACTTGTGGTAGCAAGTCCTACCACACATAGCTCAGCGAACCTGATTAATCAAAAGTGAAAAATGTTAGATTTTATACGTTGCCTGTCACATTTGTTATGGTTGAAGTTGCAGTGGAGAATTTGATGGTAGTGCAGTGGACCATAAGTGCCATTTCAGCATGGGCCACTTAGGCAGTTTGGCAGGAGCTTCAGTTAGCTCAGGGCCTCAACATTTCCATAGGACAGTTTGTATGACATCAGTGTGGACTCGATAGTTTTACCTAGATTGGTCTGGGAAGGAGCAGAGGGGAAGCCACAGAGCTCTTTGACCCAGATAGACCTCTGATAAGTGTTTTATTTAGTTTATGTATTGGTGTTTTGTTTGCAGTTATGTCTGTACATGTGTGTGCTTGGTGCCATTGGAAGCTCTTGGATGGTTCTGAGACACCATGTGGTTTTGGGAATTGAACCCAGGTCCTGTGGAAGAATAGCTCTTGTTCTTACCAAGTGATCTGCAGCTCCTCTAAGCTTTTTCTGTTTCTATTTTAGTCTCTGATACATTTAATTGCTTGTTCACTTATGAGTGAAACAAGCTTTTAAACCCTCAAAACCCTACAGGTTACCTGGGGAGTGTGGTGCTGTCCTGTAATCTCATCACTGATAGGCAGAAGCAGGAAGATCATGACTAGCAAGTATGAGGTTGGCTTACCTTATCCTACATGAGTTCCAGGCCAGCCAAGGCTTATATCCAGATCTTGTCTCAAAACAGTCACCTCAAACCAACCCCCCCCCCCCCCCCCCCCAATGAAACCAAATGCAGACATAACAATTACTGCTTTTCTGGCCACTTTGGGGTGTGTATGTGCTTTGGGGTGGCCTGGAACTTACTCTTTAGCTCAGGCTACCCTTGAACCCGTGTTAATCCACCTGCCTTGGCCTCCCTTATGCTGGAATCACAGGCATGAGCCACCACTCCCTTACATTTTTTCCACTACATTTGTTTGTTTATTTATTTTTGGGGTGTGTGTGTGTGTGTGTTGAAATCAGAGGACAGCTTGTGGGAGTTGGGTTTTTCCTTCCATCATGTTAGTACTTGGGATTGAACTCACTATCTGGATCCCCTGAAACTGACGTTATAGTCAGTTGTAAGACACCAACAAATGTGGGTGATGGGACTCGAACCTGGATCATTTCCACTGCCCAGCCCCATCTCTCCAGTCCCCTACCCTCCTTTTTTTTTTTTTTTTTTTTTTTTAAAGCCAAGGTCTCATCTAGTCAAAGCTAACCTGGAACTCACTTTGTAGACTAGGCTGGCCTCAAACAAATTGGTTGCTGGGATCATAGGCATGATCACTTACCCTTGGTGGCAGTTTTTAAAAGGAATTTCTTTTCTTTTTGCTGTTTTATATGTGTATTTGTGTGTGGAGATCAGATGACAGCTTGTAGGAGTCAGTTCTCTCCTTTAACTTTCATGTGGTCTGGGG